CCCTAAACCCTAGACCCCTAACCCTGAACCCTACATGGACTTTTCTCCTGGTCCCCGCTGCGGCACCTTCAACAGCACCTGGAAGATCCTGCAATCCAGCTGTTTGCAACCCAAGTCAGTCTGTCAAGGGTATATTGGGGTTATATGGGGATAATGGAAAAGAAAATGGAAACTACTATTTAGGTTATATAGGGATAATGGAAAAGAAAATGGAAACTACCATAATGGGTTATATAGGGTTTAGGGTTTTAGGGTTTTGGGGTTTAGGTGAGGTACTGCCCCCACCCAGTAACAGTCTATATTAGGGGTCCTATTAAGGGCTATATATAACCATATTATAACTATTATCCAACTGTTACTGAGGGGGGGGGAGTACCAAATGCTTAGGGTCTAGGATCCAGGCGTTTTGCTTCGGCTTCTTAGATGATTCTAGGTAAATGTGCTGCTGGTCCTGAAGCTCGAACAGCCCACCTTGAACCCCAAGCCCTAAACCCCTAAACACCTAAAAGCTAAACCCTTAAACCCTAAACCCCTAACATCCCTAAACCCATGAATGTTGCAGCAAGCTTGGGCAGCCCGGTTATCTCACATCCTCATAGAGAGAACTTGCGCTTGTGAGTGACAGGCCTCCTCATATATCATGGCTTGGCAGGCAGCAACATAATCCGGCGAATTATACTAGTATGTGGGGCCCTACATAACAGGTGTTATGGTATACTGGGTCCTGTAAATCAAAGCTGTAATATATTGGGCTTTAGTTCTAAATGCCCCCTAAACCCTAAACCACAATGCCATGTCCACCTTCCCAAACAGCCCTCAACCCTAAACCCTAAGCCCTAAACCCTAAACCCTGAACCCCAAACCCTAAACCCTGGCCTGGGTTTCTGAGGCATCAGCATGGCAGCCTCCGGGCAATCAAGGAATGGACAAGAAAATGAAACCTACCAGGGGCTGAAGTATATACTATATGGGGTCTAGGGTTTAGGGTTAAAGGTTTAGGGTTCAATTTAGGTTTGGGGGTATGGGGTTAAGGGGTTTAGAGTTTCGTTTAGGGTCCAGGGTTTAGGAATTAGGGTTTATGGCTAAGGGGTTTACAGTTTAGTTTAGGGTCTAGGGTTTAGGGTTGAGGGTTTAGGGTTAAGGGTGCGAAATGTCGACATGGGTCCTTTGCAACAATATCCCTACAGAAAGCGGTTCTATTGCGTTTAGGCTTTCAGACGAGGACAGGAAAAAAGGAAACTACTAGATGATGTTATTTGAGCGATAGTCTTAACTCCTGGTATCCCCTTCGATACCCCTATGATACTCCCATATACAATCCCCTATATAGCCCCCCTTTTTGGAGTTTCGACCATAGCTTATTCAGGGGCCACTGACTGACCCGAAACCCTAAACCCAATGACGCTCCGGATCTTGTTGGGACAAAGCACGTGGAGGCAATTCTAATACTGTGAGCGAATGGATACAGCAAGCCATCCGGCTCACTCTAGCCTCAAGCGCTTTAGCTTTGGGTTTAGGGTTTAGGGTTTGGGGTTTAGGGTGGGGACGTCCAATTACTTGAACTTCTGCTGTGCTTACTTGCACCTCATGGTTGGGCTGTACCAAGAATCCCCCAATATGAGGGTGTCCATACATGGGGGGCCCCCACCCAAAAGGGCCCCTCGCTTTTGGAAGAACCTTGAAGGAGTGCGATAAAAGCCTGAAGAAACAGGGCTGTGCATGCCTGTACCTTCGTGCGCCCTTAATCACCTCCCCCTAATATTAAACTCC